ACTCCACAAACACCGTTTGGTTTGAGGGCTAACAGTGTGTATGGCATACATTGTATGTATTGCACGGAATATTCTGTGAATTCTGTATATGAAGCCAATCTTAGCTTTTACTTAACAAACTATAAGATATACGATATATTTATAATGAACTCGCACTGTATCATGAAAATGTAATAATATAAGAATAAACTTCATTAATAATTTTATGGACAGTATTTGAAAATTTTCGTTAAATTTATCAATGATATTGATAAATGTAATATAAATAATATAAGGGACGAAAAGATTTATTTGATAAATGAGATTAAGTGCTAATGCATTAAATACAAAAGTATTATTATTGTTGACACTAAAAGCAATTTATAAATAAATTATAATTATCACCGTGCGTAGGTTTATCATTAGTAGCCTATTATGTTTCAAATAATCACTTTACTTAAAAAACTTTGATTTATTAAACGATAAAAATATTCAAATGTAAGAATTTAATAAATAAAAAAAATGCTAGCACACGTACTGTATGCTATTTGGCTCATTATGCTCAAAATTCACTTTTATTAAAAAAAATAGTATTACTGTAACATAGTATGAATGTGTTTATAAATATTTCAGAACTAAATATTATTAAACTACAAATTGAATTAAACATTATTTTTAATGCAAAATTATAATCAAGATTAATTAAATTAATTTAGTTTCAGAAAAATACCCTAAAAAATAATTAATCAAAAAACAAACACCAAAATGCCTTAACCGGTAGTTTATCCCCAGAAGTCAATGAGCGTAATCTGTGGCATATCGTGGATAGCTTTCATATCCTCCTCCCGGAGCTCGAAGTCAAACACATTGAAGTTCTCGACAATCCTCTGAAGTTTAGTACTCTTAGGTATGACTATCAGTCCCCTCTGGATCTGCCACCGGATCATCACCTGAGCCGCACTCTTATTATACCTCTCGCCTATACCCACAAGTGTCGGGTCCTTCACCAACGACCCGGTGCCCAGTGGAGACCAACCGCCCACAGCTATCCCATTGCCCAGACACCAGTCCACTGTCTCGTCCTGATTAAGGCCCGGATGTATGCGTATGTGATTTATCGACGGCTTAATCCTAGCCGTAGTTATGAGTTCCTGGATCTCACTCGGCTTGAAGTTGGACACACCTATCGCACGGGCCATACCCTCATCGTAGGCCCATTCCAGCGCCCGATAGATATCCGTATTATTCTTGAGCGGCCACTGAATGGACACGAAATCCAAATAAGTTGTGTTCAACTCCTTTAAGGCGTTTTTGATGACATTCTGAGTCCTCTTAAAGTTGGAGTTCTTGGGCCACACCTTATACACCAGGAATATGTCCTCCCGAGTGACCAGCCCTTCCGCGTAGGCCTCCCCTAATGCCTGAGATATTGTTTTTCAAACTCTGCTTGTTTATAAATCACATTTCTTTAAGTAAATAATTTTAAAAGTTTATTAATTACTAAAATATTACCGAAAGTTAATTTGATAATTTTCTTTCAAATTAATTTAGACTAAATTTTTGAGCTCTTTCAATTGCAGTTTACAGATTTGATCTAGGACCCACGGTTAAAAAGTTAACACTAATAATTTGAGAAAATTTAAAAACTAATTAGCACACATCAAACGCATTTTAATTTTATCCAAAATGGTTTTTGAAATTTAAAAATCGCATATGAAATGGCCAGGATACAGCTATTTTAAATATTTTCAAAGTAAAACCAATATACTGAAAATGGCACCAAAACTCCATGTATTTTCTATGAGGATTCTCAAAATATTCTTGTCAATATTCAACATTGAATATCTTTGAGACCAGGTAACATAAAAATATGATCTTATATACCAAAAAATTGTTCATTTATTCTAGTTTCTAGATCTGAAGTCAGATCTCAAATCCAATTCCACGTTCAAGAGATATAAGCGAAAAACCGACACCAGTTTTGCTTGTCCATGGGTGTATATAATATACCCACAATTAATACAATGTTATTTTATATACGGTACAAACTAACCATGTCAGGCATTAGTTTTAATTAATATATAAAATCAAAATTAGCACAGCACAATCTAGGTACTTTAATTCATTCATACTAATTTGCTGTATTCAATAGAATAAATTAGAAATATACAGAATATTCTGTACGGAATATTCCCTTCTAAGTTTAAAACTTAATTCGATAAATTATTATTCTCGAGATTATGAACAACTCCCATTTTATATATCATACTACAGTATATGATAATATCTTATACAATACTATTATATTGTACTAGTTATAATTATTTCAATTTTTGACAGATTTAAAAGAAAAAGAGAAACAAAATGTTTTGAATGAAACCAAAAGTCTAATCAAAGTTCGTTCAGAGTTTGTGATTGAATACTACTATTCATGGATTGAATGCAATTGTCTTTACTTTCAAATGGAGTTATGTTTCGATAATTTGACAAATGTTTTGGAAACTAAGAAATCATTGTTTAATGAATTGATCACTAAATTTGATTGTTATATATCTTTGGAAATGTTTCGTGAACTCACAAAATGTGTTCAGTATTTGCATGAATCGGTTCCACAGATCATTCACAGAGACCTCAAACCGGATAATGTGTTGATTTCAATGGACGGACGAATGAAGTTATGTGACTTTGGTTTAGCTAAAGAGGTCGCGAATATTGATTCATATAATATGTCTAAAGCCAAACATACGGCAGATGTTGGGAATATTGATTATATGGCACCTGAAGCTCAGACAAATGACTACAACCATTTGATAGATATCTACAGTCTATCACTAATTGGGGCTCAAATATTTGGTTTCGATACATACGATACAATTGAGGGGAGGTATGTCTGATCTAATTTTTAATCATAATATATATTTATAAAGTAATTAATTTTATATAGTACACTTATAATACAATTAGTATATAAATAATATTAGGCTATTATTATTTTTCTAGGATCAATTTAGTTAAAAAGTATAATAAAAATATAAGTAATATCGTTAATAAAATGTCTGAATTATTGGTGTCAATGGCTGTCAATATGTATCGCAAAAACGGTTCAACAAATTGGAGGCAAAGACCCGAATGTTCGCACATTTTATCACAATTGCAGACATTTATGATTAAATCTACATTTTCTGAAAATGAGTTGAACTTAATTGATGATGTAATTGGACGAAAATTTGATATTCTTTACAATATATTCATTAAAAGCAAACCTAATTGTATTATCCGAATGAATAATGAGAACTCAAATAATGGTAATACAATTGAATTAATTTTAAAATTAATCTATATATTAAAATAATCAATATTTTAGGAAAAAATATAACTTTCATAAAGAATTCGATGTTTAAAGTCATCAAGTCGATAACCGTGGGCGAGTTTAACGACAAGTATGATATCGTGAAACATAAGAAGTCTAAACTACATTATGCGTTATTCAAAATAAAAATACCAAGTAAGGATATTCTTTATTAAAAATTATTTTTCATTGAAATTTAAAATTATAGAAAATATGTCAAAAACGAATGAAATGTTAATTGACATCAGAAAGACATTTAATTTAGAATCAGAATATGTGGTCAAATGTTACAACTCATGGATAGAAGATAATAATGTGTTAATTCAAACAGAATTGTGTTCACAAACTCTCAAAGAATTTATTTATGATAAAAACCATTTCTTCAAAAAAAAGGACTCAATTGTGATGAATTGTATTGATTTACATTTATCATGTCAATTATTAAGAGAAATATTGGATTGTGTTCTGTGTTTACATGAATCGGTGGACAATATTGATTGGGAACGTATTCTCAGATATATATTTATTACCAGTAACAATGAAAAAGATATACCAATTGCAGTGAACGTATGCTACATTAAGACATTAACTCATACTAACCATACTTTATTTCATCGTTGGTCATTTGGCGATCTGATATATGATGTATTTAAATCAAATTTTAAAAAGTAAGTTATAATTGTAAGTTAAGAGCCAGAGAGTATAATTTATAATAAAATATCATTTAGGTATAACAAATTGACAAAATTGGGAATAAATATCAATAAAATTAAAGAATTTGTAAACGGTTTGGAAAATATGGACTTCAGTAAGAGAGAGACGGTTTTGTGTGTTTTGAATGAATTTGAGAATATGTTTGCAAATGACATACGAATAACTTACGATGTAATCTCAAAATGTCATCCACCTAAAGCTTTGTTGGATCCAAACAAATCTCACAAAATGATTAATAAATATCTCTTAAGGAAAGTTATTACTATTAAGAATACATATAATTCAGATTTAGAGTTTTTAAAACATCTTAAACAAATGTTCCACCATTATTATCCAAATTCCATTATTATTGAACTAGGTCCACCAGGGCATAGGTATTATGAGCTTGGCCATAATGATTCTTGTGATAAGTATTCTAATTTAACATTATATGTAATCACCATACTTATACTAATATTAACTGCATATCTTAATTATATAGTAGAAGGCTTTCTTAGAAATTAATTTATTTAAGAGCCATATAATAAATAAATAAAAATGATTTGGATTCAAAATTTGATTTTACTAAGTTTCTAAAAATAAAAGCGATTTGGATATAAAACTATTTAATTTTTCTATTTATTAATGGATTCATGTGTGCAATACCTTCCCACTAGTCATGAGATCATTAAATTTTAAATTATAACATGATAAATGATAATTGATTATATAATTGGACCGATAATTATATTCATGGATATATTTTTTAAAACTAAAGTACACATCCTTGAAATGAAATCGTGTAATAAGTGTTGTCTAACTTTGTGAAAATAATTTAAAGTATAAATCACACTTTTTATTGTACAATAGTTAGTATGAATGTTTAAATTAAATATGCATTTTAAATGCAATTTTCAAATTGATTTTCAAATGCTCATGAATACACGATTGGGTAAATCCATGCTGAATAACATGGTGTTTCTATAAGCAATGTTAGAATTAAGGAAAAATAATTAATTAATTGATTGCAAACTCCTTGACCTTAACCTCACATAACTAATTAAAAACGAGACACTAAAACACGTTTTGTTTGCTATGAAAACATATATACGTTAACTATTGTGTAGCTATTTAT